TGTTGCCCTTAGCATTCATTGCAGCCTTATAATCATCAATGGTCATAGCATGCGTGAACATGGATCCTTGCATAGTCGACAGCGACGAGAATAAAGTTCCATCACTCTTCTCGTTATCACCGGCATTCTCCGAACCGGTTTGCAATTTTTGCATTCGATTCATCCAATAGATAAGTTTCGTTGGGCTTTCTAGTATTTCGGCGGTTTCGATTTTGTTAATCCATTCCATGCCTGCCTTGTCGCTTGATCGTTTCACGACACGTTGTGAAATGTATAATGATGAGGATGATGGGGATGATGATGATGATGATGATGGAGATTTTGGCGAATAATAGGTGATCTCGGCCATATGCCCATTGGCATTCTTTGTGCCGTGAAAGAATACTAGATTCTTTATCATCATCACAAAACGTTCCGAGGTTTCGATACCACGAATATAGTAATAATCAAACGTGTCGGAGTTGGACGACAGGAATCCACACGCTTTTTTAACATACGATGAACTTAACAGGTCTTCAACCAACGGAAGGGTGGTCAAAAATGGTTCCTCGTCGAACAGAAGGGTTTTCTTTCTATCCTCAACATAAACGTTATACCAGGCCCCAGGTTGAAGCTTATGTTTCACAGGGTCGTAAGAATCGTGATTCAGTGAAATGTTCATGAGCACTTGTTGATGGGGTGGCGGAAGCTGACTGTAAACAGATAAGGAGCCGTCATTTTGCCAAAAGGTTGATGGCGAGGTTCGTATAATTCGTTCATCCAATTCATATTGACCGAGACAAGAAGAGAGGAAAGCGGTTGGCAAATTTCTCCACGATAATCTTGGCTAACATCAAAAGTTCATCGAAAACATAATGCGTTAACATGAGACACTATTAAATATGAATTCAACGCTTAAGAATGGCGAAAACAACTACCCAATAATGTCCCGTTACTTTTGATCTCCATGAATAGCCGGTCGTTATGTAATTAATGTAAAAACAATGACTATCCAATTGATGTCTATCAGCACCAGAGTATCGTTGCTGAGCTCCCTCCACCGACCAATCGAACAAGAAATTATCCTTGAATCGTGTAAACTTGCTATGGGCTGTTATTGCACCCCATAACGATTGCTCGCCACCCTCTGACTTAGATGAGAGATTCCATTGATCATTTAATTGGAACCCAAAGAACCGATCGAGAAGCGTAAAATAGCAAACGATATGCAGGAACGATAAAAATAATTGCAGAAAGGAATACGGATTAATGTTGCGTTCTGGATCAGACTCGAGGCCGAGGTAGTACGGGAGTGTGGAACCGCGATGCGGAG